GCATCTATGGTTCGAGACGTTCGACCCTCGACAATGCACAGTTTAAATATTTTATGTTGGATCGGGCCGTACGACCTCGGTATAATTTGCGCATGATAAATATTTGAAACTATTTATAATTGATATTGCTTCATTGGCTTGAAATATAAATTGTTAAATGAGGAAAAATAAATTCGGGACTTAGTACTTGTGAAAGGATTATTTATTAGTTCATGTTATTGAGTTTTCAGTATTATTCATATAATCCATGCTTATTTATAATTTTGGCATATTGTCTTTAGCCCATTGTAAGTGTCAAAGTCAACCCCTTATCACTACTTCTTCGAGGTTAGACTGGATACTTATTGGGTATATGTTGTTTATGTACTCATGCTATACTTCTGCACTTAATGTGTAGGATCTAAGGCAGGTGCATCTAGGTATCAGTTCGGCGCGCACACTTGATCCCTGTTATGAGACTACACGGTGAGTTGCTTTTCGAGCCGTTCTGCAGCAGCCAGAGTCTTTATTTTGTTATTGTTCTATCTATTCCATTTCAGACAGTAGAGTAGTAATCTTTCGTATATTCTACTAGTAGCCCATACTCTTGTGACACTAGATCTTGGCACACACTAGTAGACTCGTGGTCTTGGTTTATTTCATGGTTATGATTGCACTCAGTTGCTTTCGCTTTATTTATTTTAATCTGTGTTTTTCTTAACTCGTTTAAATTAAGGAAAATTTAATTACTTGAAAATTTATTAAAAAGAGAAATCACGTGGTTAGTTCATTGTTGGCTTGCCTAGCGACGACGCTGGGCACCCTCACCGCCTATTATGGAATTTGAGTCATGACAAGCTACTTTATAGAGCTTTCTAAAGATCGTTTAGTTAAAAAACATTATTGTCCTCAGTCTTGCTTTGATGCCATCCTTTTGGTTTTCCTATTCAAACGTAGTTTGTCTCTTTTCTTCGTCTTCCTTTATTTTAGATTGACACATATACACAGCAAAATATTTTGATATCAGAACTTAATATTTTTGATTATCATGTTCTCCGAAATGTTCCACCTAGCGTGATTAAGGGGGTAAATTATTTTCCTTACCTCTTTTTTAGAAAGTTTTGGGTCTAAAAGTAATATGACTCAGTTTCTTTTACCTCCCTAGTTGCGGCAGCAACTGAAAGGGTTGCGCAGAGCTGATCGTGATGCACAAAAAGCAACTACGTTCTGTCACAAATGTCTAGAGGTGGTGAAGTTTGTTGGTTTTATTGGTGTAACGATCCGAGCGGTCGTTTTGAGTATTATAGTCTCGTTCTCCTATTTATTGCTTATTCTATGCTCATTTGTGGTTATGTGACTTGCCAGAGTAGTTGGTTTGGTTCCGGGAATGTGTATGAATGAATTGGGACACTTAATCCCAAGGTTAGAAGCTTAAATTGAAAGAGTTGACCAGATGTTAACTTATGTGTAAACGACTCCAAAATGGATTTTTAATGGTTCTGATAGCTTCGTATGGTGATTTTGAACTTAGGAGTATGTCCGAATATTGATTTGGAGGTCCGTAGGGCATTTTGGTTGAAATTGGCAAAAGTTAGAAAGTTGAAGGTTACGAAGGTTGTAAAAGTTTGACCGAGAGTTAACTTTATTGATAGCGGGCTCGAATTTTTGTTCCAGAAGTTGGAATAGGTCCGTTGTGTCATTTATGAATTGTGTGCTAAATTTGAGGTCAATCGGAATTGATTTGATAGGTTTCGATATTAGTTTTAGAAGTTGGAAAGACATTAGTTTCGTTATGCTTGAATTGGGGTGCGAATCGTATTTTTGATTTTGTTTGATGTGATTTGAGACTTCGACTAAGTGTGTATCATATCTTAGGACATGTTGGTATGTTTGGATGGGGTCCCGGGAGCCTCGAGAATGATTTGGGTTGAAATCGGATTGAGTTTTCGACTAATGGATTTTTTGTTAGCTTCGGTTTTGGTGCAACCGCACCGATGTGAAATTGGTCACAGGTGCGAAGCCGCAGATGCGGATTTTGGCTAGGCTGGGCAGTGGTCACAAGTGCGAGGTAGTTTCCGCATCTGCGAGCCCGCAGATGCGATGAAGCTGCCGTATATGCGGATTTTGGTCAGGAGCGATGAAATCATAGAAGCGGAAGGATTTTGCAGGTGCGCTCCCGCAGGTGCGGGACTTGGACCGCAGAAGCGGGTTTTGGACGCAGAAGTGGCTTATCGGGAAGGTTAATGAATTTTCGCAGAAGCGAAAGATTTTTCGCAAAAGCGGAGCTGCAGGTGCGGCTGTTGAGCCCTCAAAAGCGGGAATGATGGACAGAAGGATTTAAACGAGGGTTTCGAGTTTTCTCTCATTTTAGGACCTAAGAAGCTCGGCTTGTGACGGTTTTTGAGTGGGATTTCACTATAATTCAAGAGGTAAGTGACTTTAGATCACTTTTGTCCGTTTATATTGAATACACATTGAATTTTTCACCTAGATTATGTGTGTTTAAAGGTGAAATTTGAGGAATATTTGGTCTAGGTATTGGAGAGTAAGATTTAGGGTTTTGAGGGTCGGTTTGTGGTTGGAATTGGATGATTTTAGTATGATTGGGCTCGTTATTGAATGAGTGTTCAGAATTTGTGAATTTTGACGGGTTTCGAGGTGTGAACTTGGGGTTGACTTTTAGGGTTGACTTTTTGAATTTGGTTAAAGATCTTAGCTTTTATCATATGGAATCGATTCCTATAGCTTGTATTGATTATATTAAGTTGTTTATGACTAGATTCGAGTCGTTCGGAGGCCGATTCGCGAAGCAAGGGTTTGTTGAGCATTGAATTGCACACTTTGAGGTAAGTAACACTTCTAAACTTGGTACTTAGGGTATGAATCCCTGAAATACATGTTATATGGTGTGTTGGGGTGACGCACATGCTATGTGACGGGCATGTGGGCGTGCACCGTGGTAATCATGATTCAGTTGTTTCTTTTGTACTGTGTTGCTATTAAGGCTTGTCCTATCCGTGAAATTCTTACTTGTTATAGTGATTGAGCGGTGAATCCTGTTAGAAATCATGTTTAGGCTATGTACTCATCCTGTTGAGACCCATTGAGGTTATTCTTGCTATTTTGAGTTATCTACTTTAACTGCAATTATGTGTTCAGTCATGATCCTTCATTTGCATATCATATCCCAGTTTTCATTATCATTTACTGTTACATTACATGTTCTTATGTTTGGGCTAAGTAGTACGAGGTTGTGAGCCTTGAGACATGAGAGATTGGTGATTGAGGTGGGCCTAAGAGCCATGTTGTGAGTGTTATTGTGGATCGGGATGCGCCCGCAGCATGCCATATTGGCTTTATTATTATTATTATTATTATTATTATTATTATTATTATTATTATTATTATTATTATTATTATTATTATTATTATTATTATTATTATTAATCGGGCTACACGCCGCAACATGCCTTATTGGCTTATTTATTATTGTGGATCGGGCTGCACGCCGCAGCAGGCCTTATAGGATTTATATTAGCGCTTGGGCAGGATCCGCCACTCCGGATTTTGATATACCATTAGTCAGCGCATGCACATTGAGTTATATACACGTGCTTTAGTGAGGGGCATAAACGCCAGGCACCCGTATAGTGCTGAGTGCTTGTGTGTGATGAGTGAAAATTTGAGATAGACAGATTGAGTATTCTGAGAGTATGAGTACCCGAAAATATCACTGTGATACGTTACATTTGATATGCATATTGACATGTAGGCATAGAGATGTAATATTCCTCATGCTAGCTGAACTTGGCATATTTTATCAATGTTGGGCTTTAATTATTGAATTTGAAAGCATGTCTAAATTTCGGTAATGTGAACGAGCTAAACATGGAAGTTTATTTGAGTTATTACTATCATTTTCTTTGTTATATATGTGTTGTCATTATTTGGTTCTGATTGTATCCTTCTAAGCTCGTCACTGCTTTCAGCCCAAGGTTAATGCTATTACTTGTTGAGTACATTGGGTTGGTTGTACTCATACTACACTCTGCACTTTGTGTGCAGATCCAGGTACATATGAACGCGATGAATGCTAGATTGTTGCCAGTGCTTGCTTAGAGATTTCGAGGTGGCTGCTATGACGTCGGCATGCCTTGACTCTCCTTCCTTTTATGCCTTTTTGTACTGTTCTATTATTCGGACAGTTGCACTAGAGTTTTGGTTATGTTAATACTTAGTAGTGCTCATGTACTCGGTTGTCACCAGATTTTGGGATGGTTGTAGTTGAGTTACAAATTTTTTTTGGCAAATTATACTACTAGGCATGCCTAGCAGCTATTTTATTAATAACAAATGAAAAAAGAAACCACAATGTAAAAGTACAAGTAAGGGATCTAGCTATAACAATGTTTCCTCTATGCCTTCGCTATATAATCACTCATTTGCGCCTCCATTGCCTTAAGATGGCAGCCTCATTTAGAGGATCATGGTGTTGCTGCCGGCAGAAGTCTCACGAGGGCATACAATCTCATAGCCGCTTGGATCTTCCCAAAGGCATAGGAATATAGCACACACATACTGTGCTAGAACTTACCTTACAAATCCTATTGAGGCATAAAAAACCCCATCTACTAGCAAGCATGAATAAAATACGAGCTAGAAATAACTAAGTACTCTATGATCATCACAAAGTTTATAACATACTATGTGATGATATTACAAATGATGATACTTAAAAAGTGAAAAAATAAAACAATGTAGAAATTTGTGTCTTGGCCCTCTTTCTTCAACCTTGTGCACTCTTCAATTTGTAGCTCATTTGCTTCTTCTTCCACTGTCTTCAAATATTCTTCAAACATTTTAATTTCTTTTTTGATTTATTTGACCTTGTGGAGGTGGTAGGGACACTCACCTTTTGCTTTGCAGTTCTCATTGGTGGTTTCCTAATGATAACCTCTTATGTTGCTTTGCCATCCCAGCTATGTTGCCTTTTATGTGCCTTCTTTTTGTTTTTGTTTGATCCACTTCTTTTTTTTTTTTTTTTTAATCCATTTCTCATTTGCCTCGATGATAGGTCTCCCTCCCTAGCTATATATTTAAAGCAAGCATCTAGTAGTTCTTCCTCTTCCCCTTCTTCATACCAATCGCGACCCATTTCCACCCCAAAAGCGTCAATAGGATTGTGTGAGGGTACTAGAGCTCCTCTTTCGGTCCTCGGATTGTCAAGAGCCTTTAAGGTATCCATGTCATGAGTTACCAGAGCTCGGAGGATGTTTGTCGGAGTCAAGCTATATTGTGCAGCTACTCCACTCGTACTAGCTACCTGTCCAGTTTTATGGATCAATTTAAGATTGAAAATCGTACCTGATAGTTGCTGTCCAGTAGGAACAAAAACAACAGCATTAGGACTTAGTTTTGTTTTGATTTGCTTACTTGGTGAAGTACTAGCAACCTGCTCAAACACAGTTACTACTCCTTCCTTTGCGTTATCCCCTCGTATTGTTGACGAACCTGTTTGTTGAGTGTTTTGTTCCTGAGAATCAACACCATAATATTCTTCACCTTCTCCATATTCTTCTACTTGGTCAGCCCATGACTTAAGCTTATAGCTAATTTCCTCTTATAGCTCGTTTAAAATTTGGACAGGTTCATCACTTAGTTCGGCTTCACTCATCGTGTCTTCATGTTCTTCTCTTGTGTGGTCAGCCCCTCCCTTTTTTGTTGCCGACGACATCATGGATAAAGTTTGTTGGTTGTTTGAAACTTGTAACATGTTGCCAGATTGATCAAACAAATCATTGGAAGGGATATCATGTTGGGATGTATTCAATCCGACCCCTGTCATGCCATTATTTTCCTTCACCTCAGCAAGAGACATTCCCTTCGTTGGATTAGACAAAAACCCAGGCAGAACTTGCAATGGATTCAAGCCTTCCAAAATTTCAGCTCCAATTGCAGTAAGATTTACATTAGTAGGTGCAATAGAGTTCCTGGAAACTTTGCACTCATCCGCAACTACCACAATCTGCCCATTCTCATTTTTTGAACTCTTCTCTGCATCTTGATCTGGAGATTTAATTCCAGATGTTTCCTTCTTTTTGCGTGTTACAGAACCACAACCTTCCTCTCTATTCCCATCCACTCCTTTCTTGCTACTAGTGATTTCTACCTGTTCCAGCAGTTCATTAGGTTTAGTAGATTGTGAAGCAGATTGTGCACCTACATCTGATGGAACAACACCAGTTCTGACGGCATCCGTTGAATTTTCCAAAACATGATCATGCTCATTGAGCAATGCATCAAAGGAGTTAGAAAACTCAATATGCTTTGGTGTTATGACCTGGTCTTGCACGTCTGGAGATCTCCTATTTTTAGGTGATCGTTGCGTCACTGCTTGCTGCTGATTCCGTCGAACATATGTAGCACTTAAAAACTGTTGCCGTTTCATCGCTTTTGAAGATGCATTTTGCCTTGTAGGTGATCTCACCACCATTGTTCAATCAAGTCGTGCTGCATTCACTTGTGCTGCATCATTAGACGAAGTGGAAATGTGGTCTAGATCCTCCACATTCACAGTTGCAGCCTCCAAACCACCAGGTCGTATACCAGCATCAATAGCAGCAGGTTTTTTTAACTCGTTCCCCTGTTTCTAAAGCTTCTGCTCCCTTAGTAACCTGGTTATGATGTTTAAAATTTTTTTCAGCACTCATAACATCAACCTCATTCAACTTCACCTCACCATGAGATGTCTGTTTTCCAGCTTCACGCATTTCACAAATATTAATTTGCACTTCACTAGCGTGCCCAGAAATGGCCTGATCAGTTGAAGATTTTGGAGAGTTCTTAGCTTGTTCAAGCACTTTGTTATCACCTGTACCAGTCACATAATCCAAAGCATAAACTCCTTCCATTTCTTGCATCTCATCATGCATAACAGTAGCTATAAAACGTGAATGTTTTTCAGCTAGTTCTGCACGTGCATCAAATGCATCAGGCATATGTTTAAAGTTAGTCAGCCCCTGTTCCTTCTCAAGTTGATGCGCAACTTTAGTAGTTTTTTCCTCAACACCTTTAGCTTCCTTATCCCTCGTTGAAACTCCATGAACAACATGAGCATTAGTAGCCCTCAAATCCTGAGAAACTCTCGCAAGAGCTGTCGTAACTGGAACTGTAACAATGCCAGAATCAGCTGATGTATGTTTGTCTTTAGTTGCATCTGAGCCTTGACCAACAACATTAGATTTTTCTATTGATGCCAGTCCTTTTCCAGAAGCATCCTTTTGTAAATTTTTAGCATCCAACAGTTGTCTCGCATCACCTCGATATTTTTCAATACCTGTGCAAATTCTTTCAGCATCTTCTTGTGATTTAACATCATGGTTCCCTACAATTGATCGACAATCATCCTCGTCATGACCTTGATGCTTACAAAACGTGCAGTATCGAGGCAAATTATCATATACAAATTTCGGTACATGCTCAATAATCTTTCCAGTTTTTTCATCCACTAATTGAACCTTCAAGTGTTGCGGCAGATTTCCCAATAAATCAAGCTCGACTTTCACCCTAGCTGTGCTCGGTCTGGATTTCTCTTGTGTTGCTTTATCAATTGCAATAGGTTTACCCGCTGCTGAGGCAATAAACATCAGAGATTTCTTTGCAAAAAGAATAGGCGGCAGACTCAGAAACGATATCCAAACAAAAGCTCTTGACGTCTCTTCTACAGGGTTAAATCCTATTGTCCAAGGAAATATTCTAAACTGATATTCCATATGCCATTAATCAGTAGATAATTAATAGATTTTGCTGCTGTTAAAACATAATCATCATAACGATCAAACCTGACCAATACATGTCTTCTGGCAAGCCATCCGATGATGCATCGACCTTGAGTTCTAAACTGTATGGGCAGTAGTTTGCGAAGCTGCTGCATATCATATGGATCATAAGAGAATTTAATCACCGAGGCTTGGTGTAATCCTTCCTCTTTTGTGAATTGGTTTATCTCCTCCATTGAGAACTTGATCGTTGCTTCACCATGAACATAAATCACTTATTTTAGCTCGATTTTTGCAACGTTCTGTCCAGTTTGTTTTGTTTCCGGAAGAGTAGCGTATGTAGCTAGTAAATTTGGCAGGTTTGACGCAGAATCAAGCTGGGAAATTTCAGATATGCCCAAGCGAGTATTTGCTACAGTAAACGCGTCGGTATTTTTGAGATCTGTAACAGCTCCTTTGGAATTTTGGAGTGAAACTTATTGGGTTGTGTTCGCCTTATCAATGCGCATCTTTTGGGATAGGTCTGGTGGTTTTCCACCACCGGACAGAGAAGTAGTGGCCATAAGACCACCACCCGTTACTGTAGCGGCATGTCTCCTGTATGGAGAGCGTTTTTCAGTTACAATTATTTTTATCAGATTAATTATGAGATTTTTTGCTGTTGAGTTTGTTAATCATATGTTCAATCCAAATGCTTAGTTATTATGTGATTGTCGACTTGCCAAGTAAGTATGTTAGGCGTCGTCACGACAGATTGAGATTTTTGGGTCGTGACAATTTTGTGTTCAAGTGATTATAATCTTGCTTTGTGTTTGTTGCGAATTGCCGGATCTCTTAAGAAGATGATCCTTGACTTATAGGGAGATACTACTTCCCTAATTGAGGACAAGGTAATTAGAAAGTGTGTTGATCAGCTTAAAGCAAATTTAACTCCCGGAGCTGAATTGTTGACATGTGGTCCTGGTTTTACGAGGAAAGTGGATGGCTCCGAATGAATTTAAACTATCACGATCCCAATTTTCCTCCGTAGGATGTCGTGATGGCACCTAGTCTCTAAGACTAGGTAAGCCTAACACTTACCGATTAAATAATAGATTTTTAACCAAATAACTATTAAGCATAAAACGGAAGTTTCTATAATAAGTCAACAATCTCAACATGATACAATGTCCCAAAATCGGTAGTACAAGTCATAAGATTTTCTTAGAGTCACTAGAAATAATAATAAATCACTAACCCTGAATAATAGGAAACAATAGAAATAAAATACAACAGAAGGTGACTTCGGAGCCTGTGAACGTCAAGCAGGTATACCTTAAAGTCTCTAGTCGCGCAGACATAAGTCTCAAACCAACTCGATCATAAATACCTGGATATGCACAAAAATGTGCAGAAGCATAGCATAAGTACACCACAACGGTACCCAGTAAGTATCAAGTCTAACCTTGGTAGAGTAGTGATTGTTACATCCCATGTTTTCATACATAAGAGTACGTCATAAGACAATTGATGTAAGCTCAGAAATGAGATCATTTTTGAAAGTACATAAAGTAAGTTAATCATGTTACATTGGAGGTTACAAATATGAAAGATCATGAATAACAAGTACCAAGAGGGTTGGAAAGCTTAGAAGCTAAACGAAAAAATAAGTTTCGTCGAAAGTCGATAAGTTTGGAATGTTATAACATACACTTTGGGGTGAGACTAGGGTTCTTAACATTATAATGAGGTTATGTTATCAGTTTTTTTAGTCGTATGATAGTCCTTTATTATATTTTGAAGTCAAGCGAGTTGTGGAACAAAAGTTGGCAAAGGTGATCACAAGTTACATTAAAAAATATGCTGAAAATTAGGTCAAATATAGCTGAGCCTTTCTCTAAAGATACTTGTAATTACGAGGTGATCTACCTACCAAATTAAATATGTACGAGTCTAGTTTCTAATGCATTTAATTGTTCGTCGATACGGCATCGGAGTAGAGAGACATTCATATTTTTGCGAGACCGTGCAAGCAACTCTCATTGGCCGGGTGCCCTGTGGAACATGTTTTATGAAATTTCACTCTTTATGTAATATTTCTTTTCTTACTGATTGAATTCAGGTAGAGAGAGGAATATTCGATCAAAACCTTTAGTCCGATAGGGGGATAGTATACATTTAATCCGGATAAGACACTGAGATGAAAGACGAATCAAGCAAGAAAGGCAAAAAGGGGGCCGCTTTCTCGAGTGATATTTCTTTTTTGGGGTTAGTCTAACTGTCCTAATTCTAGTTGGTAGGCGTGCGAGTAAGAGGGTAGTCGGCGAAATTATATGAATTGAATGGGACTTCCACAAAGTCGGTGTAAGACTCCAGCTTGTATTTAAGGCAATTCTAAGTAGTTTTAACTCATTTTTCTGGTCCAAAATAGTTCCTAAAATCTCCTAAAATCTCTCCAAGAATTACTCCATGATTCTAGGGTGAAAACCTAAGATAAAAACATGAATCAAATGCTAGAAATCCCATGGTGCTTTCTAGATCGTAGTTCTTCATCTTGTGGCTATTTTAGAGGGTTCTTCAAAGGTAAGTAACCTCTGATTTCGTATTATTCTTGTTGATTAAGGTAATAATCAATCCCTCCTTCATATATATATTAGATTTGCAAGGCGAACTACAAGTGTTTACAACTTAAACACCAAAAGTTGATTCAAGAAGAGAATACAACACCTATAGTGTTGTGGTGTCATTGAGGATAGTTGTGGGTTGTGCTTGGCTGAAATTTCATGTTATTTCTACTGGTTAAGGTGAGTATAACATCTTACTACATGTTCTTGAAGTTTTTTGTGTGTTGGTAGCATTATTTGAGCAAAATACTACAAGAGGAGACTTGAAATAGTTTGAGATGTTATTATTTTAATGGACTATTTTGGAAAGGTTATTTCCATGAACTATAAATGGTTGGAAATCCTTTAAAAAGTATTGTTTATTATACTAGATATATTACTAAGTTCAAGAATGAATGATAATGGGGTTGAAGGGTGCTAATGACATTCAATCCGAGCTTATCGCTCCTCGTGATATGTTGATGACTTGTTAATGAAATATTTTGTACCCAATTGTTGATGTTGTTCTTATAGTATTGCTCTGGTTGTTGTTTTTGGTATATGGTATTGGAGGAGGCCCTTGTTACAGGGGAGATGCTGCCCAATTTTACTTAAAGGAGTTACTAGTTTAAGTTGCGGACTTAGCCTTTACTCAACATCAATTTTGAATCTCTTCTAGTTGAGTTGTTTGAAGAATTTATTAGAAGGTATTAAGGGCTCAAAGGAGTTAAAGTATGTAAAGGCTATTTTCCTTTTGTCACGATCCATATGATACAACGAAATGAGCAAACACGCAACTTTCACAAATGACTCTATTCTTAGAAGTACAAGGGGTGCCTACGTTCTTGATTCCCCATGTGTCTAGTTATTATATCGTCTGTTCATGGGTCTCAAAAAATACGTAAGTTGATAAAGTTTATTTCATGATATTAACCGAAGGCATATTAATCTTATGACATTCAGAGAGATCTTATTGACTTCTTATGACATTCAGAGAGATCTTATTGACTTACTGCATTATGCATTGCATTCATTTATACATGTATATTGACCCATGACCAGATGGCATTATATACGCATATATTATATGTATATGGGGTATGGAAAAAGGTTATGACGTTATATACACACCACCACCTGATCAACTGGTATACGTTGATGATTTCGCCCACAGAGGCCGAGATGATATAATGGGATGCCCTCAGAGGCTTGATGATGTTATGTACGCATATACCTATGCATGATATGACATTTATACGCATATGCATGACATTATAAATATTTCATGATTCACAGAGCTATTCAAACTTACAGGTTGAGTTCTTTACTCCATGTTTCTTTCATGTCTTTTATATACTGCTTTCATGCCTTACATACTCGGTACTTTATTCTTACTGACGTCTCTTTTGCCTGGGGATGCTGCGATTCATGTCCGCAGGTCCTGGTAGACAGGTTGACAGTCTTCCTAGTAGGCTATCAGCTCAGCGGAAGGTGTTAGTGGACTCCACTTATTCCAGAGTTGCTTATTTGGTCAGTATGGTTTGGACATGTATTAATTGGTCTGGCGGGGCCCTGTCCAGACCTTTATGATGTTTATGTACTCTTAGAAACTTGTAGACATATGTCATGTATATGGATACTTGTATGGACTTGTCGGCCTATGTTTTGAGTGTATAAATGTTCATGTCGGCCTTATAGGCCCGTATGTCACATGTATAAGTTTCTATATCATGTTAGGTCGTCTTATGTCTAGTATTCCCTTATGGCCTATTTACCCGTGATGGTGTGATAAGAAAGATATGTTATGTTGGTACTCGGTTGAGTAAGGCACCGGGTGCCCGTCGCGGCCCTCTGTACAAAATTGTATACACTCAATAAGAAAGTGGCACCTACTGTGGCTAATGAACATAAAAAAAAATCAAAGATGATGTTTGAGATCATATGAGTTACAGAAAATTCCAGTATTCGTGGGCAATAAGATAAGCTAAGTATTCATGCAACAAGTGGCAGAATGACCAGGAAAAGTAATTACTTACATTTAAATACAACTAAGAAGGCACGAAAGGAAATCTATGGTGCTAGCAAGTTAAAGGAAGGTTGTGAGTTGTATAAATAGATATGTGTAGGTCGCAAGATAAAGTATCGTAGAGCGACAATGTTTTAGGTAGATAAGAGTAAGGATAAGAAAAGGTGAGTGAGAAGGTGATGAGAATAGGTAAGTCCTCGAGACTAAACCCATCAAAACAAGAGAGTTGATGGTTTCCGTAAGTAATAGAAAGCTCGGTACAACCTGAATGAACTCAGAGGAGTCTAAGACTAAGAGAAATTAAAAGAGATGAAATGCCGCCCTAGTAGTAGAATAAGGGTGTAATTGTAATAGATAGGAGAATGACGCTTAGGCCTTTGATTGAGTAATAATTTAAAAAAAAGGTATTTCATGAATTGCACGGGATTAGAATACCCCCATAAGATGAATCACGTTGGGATGCAATGAAATACGGTTATTGAAGTATAGTATCATTCCTAGGTGGATCAGGCAAATCACTTCAAATATTCCTCGATGCAATGTGAGCCCTAGTGAAAATGTATTACATAAGAGGCTTCAAGTTATCAAGGATAGATTATGGATCAACATTAATGTGAATTGGAAGAATTCCGATAACAAGTCGTGGCGTAAGAAAGAGGTCTAAAGGGGATGTAAATACAGAAGTTCTTTGATTCTATGGGCATAAATAAGATTAGCTTCACAAGCAAGCCTATGTACCTCAACTGTTCTTTTCTTTCATGGTATCACATAGGCATTGTTTTGATGAATTCAACAGTTGATAATATACAACAACAACAATAACAATCCAGTATAATCCCACAAGTGGGGTATGAGGAGAGTAGTGTGTATGCAGACCTTACCCCTACCATAGGGAGCAAAGAGGTTATTTCTGATAGACCATTGGCTTAATAATTGATGATATAAATACTATTATTCACGAGCCAAATAAGAAATAAGAGGCTTATATATCATGTTGAATACGTTTTACAACTGCCAATATTCTGTTATGAATCAA